GAATGGGGGGAGGGTTCAGAATAATATGAACTTTCAGGGGTCAAAAGTTTAGAATATATTTTGGTGTTCTAAAACTTTTGACCAGTAGTGTGTATATATATATGTGTATGTGTGTGTGTGTGTGTGTATGTATATATATAAGTATGTATATATATATATACATACACAACATACACACATATAAAGATATACAATAGATATGGAATAAAGATAGATATAATATAGTTATTATGATTATTATTATTATTGTAAACAGTTGTTTATAAAGTTGTAAACAGGGTGTTCTAAAACTTTTGACCAGTAGTGTATTTATCTAAAATGCTGCAATTTTCAGTGATTTCCAGGACAGAAATGTGAATACTGGATAAAGCCAGCGTCAGAGTTTTTCTTATATTTTGTTGACAGTTTAATGTCAAAGGGTTTTCCAGAGAGGATTTATTTATTTATTTATAATCATGACATACTGTAAATCATAAAATACTGTCAATAACCAGGAAGAAAATATCAATATCCGCCATGTTTTTAGGAATAAAATGTTCTAGAAATCAGGCTATGAATGATATACCCCCTGTGTAAAAATTATGTCGATAAATATAGATAAGAATAAAATCAGAAAGTTTGGTGCAGGTAGGTTCTGCTGTTTTATAATTTAAATCAACAATATAGTAAAATAAACACCTAAACGTGCATTTTGAATGTTGGATGTTCCATTGGTCTGAAAGAAGGCCCATTATGGAAGCAAAACATCCCAAAATTTCAAAATTGCATCACTGCAATCAAAAAAGGCCTCTAATGTTGTTGCCTTAAAAACAACAACAACAACAACAACAATGTAAAACAACACAGAGGTGTGATGCAGGATGGTTTTCTTATCATATCTGTTTTGTTTTTTAAATAACCACTGTTCAGTTGACATGGATCTGGTTCTGGCAGAAACCTTGCAATGTGTATCGGTGTCAGTGCACCAGAGTCTACAAAGAATCTAAAGAAACTCACTGAGATGGAGTAGGAGAGGGCGACAGCTCCGACCGGCCAGAAGCAGCACAGCAGGGTGAAGATGGAGTAGCCCAGGTAGTCGTTGACAGGGTTGGTCAGAGGGCCTGCAGACACAAACACTGTGGGCTGGACGGTGACGGTGTCGGGCTGAGCTGGATACTGCTGGGCCATCGGGTACGGCTGATGTCCATGTGCTGGATCATCATACTGTGGAGAAAAACCCTGCAGGCCAGGAAGTACGATTCAGACTCATTGTTGGATGAAACAAAGCAGGTTTGTCAAAGAGAAACTAAGTGGATTCAGACAATTTGGAGGAGTAACGTGGACATGACATCAAAACATTTCCTAACAAGTTCTGACAAATAAATAATCAGATCATATGTGTGTTGACTTATATAATAATAATAGGCATGACTCTAAGTTGCTGTTTGATACTGCATCAAAACTCACCCAGATCAGCCAGGTGGCCAGCTGTCCACGACTGACAGCACAAGACTTTCTTTTATTTTTAATGAAAAGGTTATGGATATCAGGCTGCAAATCCCACAGCCTCTGCAGTTTGACTCATTATGTGTTGCTGCTCCTTCATTTAGCAATATACAAGGATTAAGTGATTTTGAGCCTCCTTCCTTGTCTGAACTATCTAAGATCGTTAGATCATTGCGTTCAACAACTTGTCTATCTATTTGAGCCTCTTCAGTCTGCTTTTAGGGCAAATCATTTTACTGAGACTGCATTAACTAAGGTGGTTAATGAGTTACTGTTGAATGCTGACTCTGATCATGCTTCGGTTTTATTGTTGTTGGACCTTAGTGCTGCCTTCGATACAGTCGATCACTGTATTTTAACTGAAAGACTTCAACACCTTTTTGGCATCTTGGGCAACGGGCTGTCATGACTTAAGTCATATTTGTCAGAGAGATCTCAATGTGTTTTATTTAATAATGTCTTGTCTGATTCTTGCGCAGTTAAGTATGGGGTTCCTCAGGGCTCTGTGCTAGGTCCCCTGCTTTTTTCATTATATCTTGCACCACTTGGTAAATTATTACAATCTCTTGAAATTGATTTCCACTGTTATGCAGACGATTTGCAATTATACATGCCTTTAACATGTGGAAATGGGTCTGATATGTCAAACTTGATAATTGTCTTTTAGCTGTTAGAAACTGGCTCTCTAAAAATTTCCTTTTCCTTAATTCTGCAAAGACTGAAATGATGACCACTGGACCCCAGAATAACTTCAGAATGCATTTAATAATGTGTCCTTGTCTCTTGATGATTTTATTGTTCTTGGCAGAGACAAGATGAAAAACCTTGGTGTTATATTCGATCAGACTCTTGTTTTCGATGAGCACATTAAGGAGGTGACAAAAATATCATTTTTTCATCTTCGAAGGATCGTTAAGATCAGAACAATTTTAAGTGATAAAGATGCTGAAGTCCTCATCCACGCTTTTATTACGTCTCGTTTGGACTATTGTAATGCCCTTCTGTCAAGACTACCCAAGAAAAGCTTCAGAGTCCTGCAGATGGTGCAAAATGCTGCAGGTCGGGTTCTGACTGGAGCTGGAAAATCCGATCATATGACCCCGGTGGCACTGGCTTCCATGTCAGGCTCGTGCTGATTTTAAGGTGCTTTTATTGACTTTTAAAATTTCAAATGGACTGACACCTTCTTACTTAACCAATCTTGTCACGTTGTATGCACCTTCTCGTGCCCTCCGCTCACAAGGATCTGCACTGCTGACTGTGCCGAAGGTCAGGAAAAAGACTGTTGGTGAGCAAGCCTTTTCATTCCGTGCCCTGACACTGTGGAACAGTCTCCCTCTTGACATAAGACAGGCCTGTTCTGTGGATGTTTTTAAAGCAAAACTCAAGACCTACATGTACACTTTATCTTATATGTCCTGAAATGTTTTTACTATGCAAATGTTTTTTTTTTTAAGTTGTATGTTTATGGATTGTGTTGTTTTATTGTAATTTTATTGCCTGTACAGCACTTTGACCAAAAGTGCTTTATAAATAAAATTATTATGATTATGACTATTATTATTATTATTATTATTATTATTATTATTGACTTATCTAGGATTAAATATGATCTGCAGTACAGTAAATATTTTAAAGAGATACACAATCTTACTGCAAAAGTATGTTCCTCTGCATTTGAAATTGTCACCTTGTGCTTGAATGTTTTGTTTTCTTTAACATGATCAAAGACATTTCTACTATATAGTGGGGCCAAAAAGATACAAAATGGTGCACTAAAATTTTATTTTATTTTTTTTAAATGCAGAAAAGAAATTTCGTAAAATAGAATCCTTCTCCCAGTGTTGAGAGGAAATCTATGCCCCTAACAGTCAGCTACAACCACTGCTGGTTTCACTTCATGCTAAAACAGGGCAACACAAGCTCTAGGAGACATTTTCAGCACTTTATGTATTAGAATTTCAAAACCTACATATCAAATCAACAGTTTTCGTATTTGCAAATTTTTTTTGTTTTTAAATTTTTAAGACAAACAAGGTGCACTGCATCAGGAAATAACATAAAAGAATACAACAGGACAGACAAGAAAATGAATGCTGTCATTGATACAAAGTTGATTTTTGTTGTTTGTTGCAGGAATTTGCATTAAAATGCAGATGTTTAGCAGCATTTAGGTGAAAGGAAACACAACTGTGTGATGTTTGATGACATTTTTTGCTCCTTTGTGCGTGTTTCTGTGCTGGTTACCTGCTGTGGAGGGTATCCAGGGCCTGGCGGGGGCATCTCGGGGTAGGGGGCGTCCTGGTAGGGAGGAGGAGCGGGGTGGCCCATGGGGCTCTTCTCCTCAGTCCAGTCCTGTAGAGGAGTGCTTGATTCTTTGCTGGGATTCATAATGCAGCAACTTGCCTCACTCAAATGAAAAAGTAAATCTCCCTTTTCACCGCCGTGTTCCTGTAACTCCCACGAAAAGTCTGACTGTTGACAGTTTTTTGTTCTTTTTCCAAACTGACTTCGACCCTACTGCTGCTGCTCCTGCCCGTTGTTTGATCACATGCAGAGGTTTGACACAATGTTCCTATCAGTATCAAGTCAGACAGAGTAAATAGGAAACATACTGGTCACCTCTTTCAAATTAAAAGCACCAGTAAAGCTGGGCTTCTTCTTCTTCTTTTTTTTTTTTTTTTGCTGTTGATCGAAATATATGATTAATTTAATGCACTGCATCTTCAAAAATCTGAAACACGATGAGACAATCAGTTTGTTTGTTATTATTATGATCGACAACATAAACAGAAAACAAATACTTTTGCAGTGCTATGAGTAAAATCAGCAGCAGGGCTCCACAGCAAAATTACAAATGAACTCTGAGAGGGTTAAGTATGACACTAGAGAAGTCTCCATATGTGTCCACTCTTTTGATACAATACTTGTGAAAGTCTGTGTAGATTCTCTGTCTTCCAGGTCGTAGTAATCCTAAGAGCTTCAGTGTAAAAGCACCTGGACGTCTGTCTGTGATGTTTGTTTTCAGAGAGGTTTCTCATCCGAGAGGCGAAATGTCTTTTAAAAATCTAAAAGTCAAGTCTGTTCTACTCATCCTGAGTTATTTCAGTACTGTACAGAGTTGAAAATTAACACGAGTGTTGATAGTATGTTACACTAGTGTCAGTGTTAGAAAATCAGTGCTACTATGTAATGGACAAATAATGTTTCAACCAGTGTACTCGTCACATAAAACTAAC